ACCACACACACACACACAAAGAGAGGAGTATCGTTGTCAGCGCCCCTTCGGCTAACTGCGCCTCAGCAACGATAGTCAAGTGACACGACGGCTTTTCGTTGTCTACTTCACCACTGTAGGCACGATCATTTGAGGAGCATGAAAAAATATATCTTCGCGCCACGCAGCTTAAAACTGCCATGGGGGTATAGTTAAGAGGAGGAGAGAGGGAGAGAGACTCCCATGACGGGACACCACGAGGAGAAAAGCAAGACGCCTTTGACGGAGAAGGAGTACAAGAAGGGGTTTTAAAACACTAGAGACTATCGGAAACACGTGGGGGAAAAGAAAAAGAAGTATATAATTGTGTCCGTTATTGTCTGTTCCACGTTCACTGCTCCCTTTTCCAGCAAAGTCCTGCTGCCGCTGACTTCGTCGCTTCTCTCAAGCTTCTGTCTTCTTCGAATTCTTTGCTCTCTCCTCCTCATTTTTTTTCCTTTCCTTTCTTTATTTCGATCGTTCTGTTCTTCTCCTTTTTGCATGCAATTCTCATTTAAGAATCGAACGGCACAGAAGAACCACAGCAATCATGATAACCGTAATAGTAATACTTAATAATAGTACCAACTCTGAAGTATCAGCGGTATATACAAATGCTGAAACAGAGAAGTCAAAGAGGACTACGTAAAGGGAACCAGAGAGAGAGAGGGAGACACCCGCACCTTCAATGAAAGAAGAAGAGCGAAAAAGATAGCCTTCATTTCCAGCTCCCTGCAAGCAACACTGGAGACAAGAGCGGAGGTGTGAAATTTTTTATTTCCCGAGACGCCGTTTCCCCCTCTCCCTCTCTCTCTCCCTCCCCCAGAGTCTTCTCGTTTGACCTGCACGTCGTGTACGCGGCACGCTCGGAGTTCTTTCCTTGCTTGGTCACAAATGGATATAAAAAGTGAAAGGCGCCACAGTCGATCGCAGCCACCGTACTCCACCGCGCGATGACTTCAGCGACAAAACAACGAGCACTACAGCAACAGGAAGAAAACGTAAAAAAAAGTAAAGTGACGCTTCGGGCCGCTTCTCTGAGGGTGCTCGGGGGTTTAGCGATTCGCAAAGAGGAGAACCCCCACACCCACACTCACAAACAGACAGACACCGACAGAGGTGAACAAGGCACATGTGAGGGGGGGAGGGGGGGACGCCACACATCACATGAGCACGATAGAAGATCCGCACCTCGACGACAAGCGACAGCCACATCGGTACGGGATTCGCACACATGCCGCAGGATGCACACAGTCCATCCACACGCACTCACCGTACTTAACACAGGAAGGAGAAGACCTCTTTCACCTCTCGTACAATTCATTTTTCTCCCATACTCCCCTCCCCCTTTGATCCTCCTCCTCCTCCTCGTCAACCACCACCTTCCGGAGTGGAAATAATATTTCGTGGTCCTCTGTTCTTCTTCTACCTGCGCCGCTCCCTCCTCAGCTGGAATGCGCTTCGCTGACCAGCACGCACTGCGAAGACGAGAGAACACAGCACTTCATCGGAGGCCACTTTCTTCATATCCTAAAGAGAGATGTCTGGGATGGGTGTGCTCGCGGTTTGGGGTGGGGCGGCGGAGGTGGATGACCCCCGAAAAACATCCGCAGCCCAAAGCATAATAAGAAAAATAATATCTCCACGAGCCACGCCGTGCCATCCACAAACATCTACGGCAGCATAAACATCAAATAATGGCGATAGTTGAAAGAAGAAAAAAAAAACAAGCGTGGCGCGTCAACACCACTGAAGACCACACAGCAAGAGTACTGCGGCGATACAGAGTCGGCGAAGGAGATCACGGAGGTGAAAGAGAAGAAGGAGAAGAACACAGCAACAACAGCACACACACACAGAGGCAAAGAGAAGGCGCGACGGAATGGCCGAGGAGGCAAATAACAGGAAATGAAAAAGAAATGCCAGTCATCTTCACCGTCGTGTTTACCACAATTCAAGGGAGGTAAAGAAGAAGAAAAACACTTAATTTAAAGCAAATGCGAAAGATAAGCTATCCGTATAAAGAAGAGGAGAAAGAGTTGATGAAAGTAAGCAGAGACAACGAATAAGGGCTTTTAAAATTATTATCTTCAACTTCATCGGGATGAGTTGCAACCACAAACCACAACGTCCGAATACGCGCGAACTCTCTTTCCCTTAAAATAAACTTTTGGTGTTTTTTTTCCATCTTCCTTTCCCCCTTTCCCCCC